GGCAACTGTGGCGGGGCAGACAGAAAGGACCGAGACGGACCTCCGCTCCGACGTTGCTCGGGGGGAGCCTGGCTCGACCCCTGCCAGCGAGAGGCCACCTTGCCCTCTCCCTCCTTCTGGCCGCCGGCTGGCTGGGGAAACCGGACACGCTCCTTTCGCTCGGCTTCCGACGGGAAGCGGCTCCCAGTCAAGCTGAGCAGGCGGCGCAAGCCGGGCGGAGCCCGTCAGAGAGTCGCCGCAGTCCTCCGGACTTTCCTTCGCCTTCTCCCACTCTCGCCACCACACAGCCCTTCTTATCCCAGAGGGGCGCACTGAAGGCGGATTTCCCCCTCGGGAAAATATTTTAATGTTCTTTTTAATTGCCTTGATATATTATTTAGAGGCGGGCCACACCTCCGTTATATATGCCCCCCCTCCCCGTTTCCCATAGAACCTACTTTACCATCAGCATCTTATTTCCTTGCTCAGTTTCTTCCCGTCCCACCTCCCTCTCAAGGCTAGACCGCGGGCTTTCTTTGCAACTGGCTTTCTTTGCAACGCGCCCAATACCTGGACAGGGCGACAGACAGGTAAACCAGCCCTTGAAAATAACACGGGCACTGTATCGCACGTAGGATACACCACGATACCTCTGGGTAACAAACCTGCGTTTTTAAACAGAAAAAGACTCCGTTTTCCAATCCGGTTTTCGAAATGTTATCAAATATACAGCGTCTGTTATACAGAATAATAAATATTTTAAAGGCTTTTAAAAATAATTCTAATTTTAAATGTTTTGAAAACAAATAAACGGTGAAGTTTCCCGATTGCCACTAGGCAGGCTACTTTATCTCCTTTTATTTGCTGCGGTTTACTGTCCTGGGTTGGAATCAGGGAGTAGATGATCGTAGAAGCGAAAGATCGGCCTTGGCGCCTGTCTGCTTCTGGGTGCAATTCGAAGTTACTGGTAAAGCTCTAAAAAGGCCTGTCCCTGGTCGTCGTCACCTGTGTCACTACCATGGACAGCGGCACGCCGAGCGGGCATGAACAATTTAACCTAGAGTAGGCCTACCCGCCTACCCCAGGTTAAAATCTTCATCCCCGCTCGGTGTATCGCTGTCCATGGTAGTGAAGCAGGGTGACGAGGACCAGGGACCAGAAACTTTTCTGCGGTGGCCCCAAGCTGCTGTGACGTCCTTCTAATGTCTGATGGCTTCTAATGTCCTGGCCCCACTGGTGGACCTCCTGATGGCACCTGGTATTTTTGGCCACTGTGTGACAGAATGTTGGACTGGATGGGCCTTTGGCCGGATCCAACATTGGCGTCTCTTATGTTCTTAGGTAACAGACCCCTCCCCCAAAGTTCTTTTGACCTCTTCCCATTTTGTTTTTACCAACTGGGTTGAGATGTTCTTCTTTCCCCGTGCTTGTTGAGTGACACATTTTTCCAGACCGCTTTTTGGTTCTCTTGGATATGTCATCCTGTTTTATGGTCTACAGCCCTTTTTTGTTGTTTTGTTTTGGCTGGCTGTTCCGGCTTTGTTTTATGGACATGATTTTGTCATTTTTAAAATGATCTTTCACTTTCTGTGTTTTGTGGTTCTGCTTATACTGTTGCTCTTCTGAGATGGGGGAGAGGTGTTAATGTTGGTTAGCATCTGTGGAATTATTTTGACCCATCTTATTTTATGATTTTTAACCATTGATTTGCTTGCATTGTGAGCTGCATCAGACAGATGCGGTCTGAAGGGGCAGCACAGGTACATGCTAAATAAATAAATAACGCCAAGGGGATTAAGATGAGTTGAAGGAAGAAACAATGGATTTCGCCTGGGGTTCTTGTTGCAAACTACTGGGCCTCCTGAAGGCCTCAGGGGCCTATTCCTATGCTGACCTCTTCCCACTGCTATAATTCCCATAAGGCATCTCTTTGGTGCTCCAAGCATTCCACACACACAGTGCTGCCATATTGCTGGTGTGGGCTGTGGCTGAGAGAATGTTATTCTTGTCTAAAGCAATTTCTTGACTTCATGGCTGAGGTGACTTCCTAGCTCTCCCCTTCACCAGGCTATAATGATTAGCTCATGGCGCCCATAGGTGTGCTTTCTGGTGCGCACTTACTGCTTGCCTAAAACACCTTTTCCTCAAAGTAAAGGGCCAGCTTTGGCTTTCCTCCGCCTCATCAAAGCATGCGGTGCTCCAAAAAACAGTCCATCTTTAGGCCATCTTTTGGAAATGGCTGCCCCCATCCTGGCTTGGGATCTTCCTGTCTTCGTCATTGACTGCCATTTTGTGATGGTGCCCATGACCCTTTCTCAAAATCCCAAAACCACCGCAGCATCAACAAGGGTGGGAAGCCCACCAGCTCTTACATGGCAAATATATTGCAAATGAAGGATTTAAGCTTTTTTAATTAAAAAAAACATTTCACAGTATCATTAACGACGGAGAGTTTTACAATATACCTGGTGCAACCAGGAGACTGAGAGTGAACACAAGCCATTCATTTATCCAGGGCCAACGTATTGTAGGATCAAATCCAGTCAACTTTTTCCATTCGTGAAAAAGGAGCTGGGGCTCCCCTTTGACCTTTAAAAAGGTTTTGCTGAGGAGAGTGGGCAAGAGACAGGAGAGGAACTGAGAGAGATGGAGTCAGAAAGCAGGCTGGATGCAACCAATAGGGGGGGGGACACTGGGAAGTTGGTGGCTTCTGTATTCCCTGCCAAAAAAAGGACCATCCATTTTCATGGATGTCAGATCAGGTCTACTAACATAGTCTGTTCTCACCCTTTGGCAGCTGAATCGTGAGTCCATCCCGATAAGCAGAGCCCACTCCAGGATGGTTTGGATGCCTGGGTAAATAGATGGGAGGCGGCAATTTGATTGCACCCTTGCATTTAAAATAGGGTTACATTCTCCCTCCCACTTTGCAGAATAATAGAGTCCAGCAGGGCATTTGGTCAGTGAGGATGCACGCCTTGCCGTTTGGTCAATGACAGTCTGTGTTCATCTTCAGACTTGACCAAGATGGGTAGCCGTGTTAGTCTGTCTGTAGCAGTAGAAAAGAGCAAAAGTCCAGTAGCACCTTAAAGACTGACAAAATTTGTGGCAGGGTAGGAGCTTTCCTGAGTCACTGCGCACTTCTTCAGATACTTCTGTATGTCTGAGGCGCCTGGTTTCCCCCCTTGGGTTCACGCCCAGATGGTAAGGAAACCCGAGTACTTGTGAGGACACTTGCTCGAATGCCCTCTTTATCCCCCTCACTTCTTCCCTTCCCTCCACCTCTCCCTTTGTGTTGACTTCCCCTCTATTGCAAGGGAAATTGGAGGCTCCGCGGGGCACCAAAAGGCACTTTCAGTTTATGCCGCTCTGTGAGTCGTCATGTATTGCAATGGCACCAGCCTATCCGATGGACAGTGATGGCACACACAGTGACGTCTCCTGACCTTCCGCCCTCAGTTCCCCAGCCAGATGCGTCCCTTCCATCCTGCTCTCACTCCACGTCCTGTCATTCAGCCGATCCACCTTCTTTCCTAGAGACACCCCTCCCCAACCCGGTCGCCGGCGTCTTGCATTTTCAGTTTGCAAACCGGGGGGGGGGGGGGGGATCCAGGTGGCTTCCGGTCCAGGGATCAGCCCCCGTACCTGCCCTGAATACCAAAGCCCGGGCACGACTCACCGAGAGCATCTCCGAGCACATGCCGAGGGCGTTTCTTTTCTCTCAGATCCCAGCCCCGGGACCTTCCCAAACGCAACCTTTTTTCAAGTTGCCGCCTGTCTTTTAGATCCACCCCCCCTCCCCGTTTCCTAGCGCCGCAGTCCCGGTCCTGACGCCCACCCACCCCCCACCCCGACATTGCCTTCTTCTGGAACTGACATTACCAATCGCGAGCCCCGATGTCGGAACCCCCCTGAAGTGTCCTTCGGTCTCAGATGTGCGGATCCCTGCGGGGCAGTCCTTGGACATCCCGGGGCTGAGAAGGGACAGACTCGGTTTAGGATTGCGCTGGTGCTTGGCGAGCCCTTGGCCCGAGGGGGAGGGCAGCCTGGAGCCGCGGTACCCGCCCCCCCCCCCAGCCAGAGCT